GGCCAACGTTTGAAATGAAGTAACAGGGAGGTTTTGAAAAGCTACTGCAATGATCTGGAGAGAAATGTACCCCAAATAGTTACTACAGATGGTAAAAACCAGTCCCCGCTCAGTTTTTGGAGGAGCAGAGTACCCTTTTTTTTTTAACAAAACAGTTCAAATTTCTGCTCTCTCAGACATGTCTAGTTGCACCAAAACCTGAGTGCTGGAAAAGAAATCAACCGTCTCTGCCAATAAGAAGAACTTTTCCTCTTCCCCACAAAAATCCTGCCTTTTCATTCATAAATAAAATAAGCCACTAACTCAGCTGCTGGCAGGCTCTCCCTTTTATCTTTCACTCACTTGAGAAAGACCAGCAACATCACGTTTTCGGAAAGCCAAGTGTAGTAATCATAGAATCGGATTTCATGTATTTTTAAAAGCATTTGCAGCAGCAGAGCTCCAATCACTTTTAAAAGAAATATAAACATACAGAAATTCCGAAGAAGCAACTTGGAGCTCCTGACTTTCCTCATTTCTTCAACACAAGATGAACGTGCCAGGAAGGGACTCCTTTCTAAAGGAGATCTCAAAAAGTTAGCAACATTACACTACAAGCACGGCAGAGCCGAAATACTTATTATCTCAAATAAGCCCGGATGACATTTGAGATGCCTCGACGTTTATTGGCCTGCCAGCACAGCGCGGGATCAACCACCTCCTTCGCTCTATTGCTTTTTTTTTTTTTCCCTCCTGCTTGCTCAAAGTCCGTGTTCATAAAATATTTAGCGGAGGATCTTCAGAGGATGGTATCGCCTACGCTATAGCCCCAGCGCAGGTTTACCGTGCTACGGAGACAGATATCCTGCCACCAGAGAAATGGGAAGAGCGCATGGGGCTGAGTCCCGGCCCCAGGAGCTCCCCCTCGCCGCGGCGGTGCGGGCTCAGTCCCCGCCTGCCACGCCAGCACGAGCGGCAGCGGACAAAGTGAGCGAGCACGCAGAACAGATTTGGTCCCTTTCGTGTGGTTATAAGGAGAAATGTTACTTTTTAGAACGGAAAACAGAAATACGAATGTTCTGCCTGTTTCCCGGCGCCCGCTGGGGACAGCTGACCCTTTTTTACCTCTTGTTATTTTCTTCCCAGTGGAAAAAAAGGAAAGAGCAATGGAATCTGGAATTCAGATGCACTGCTGAAATAAGCTATCAGTTGGGCAGCAACTCCTGGTAGTACCACCCATTTCTGCAGCAGCCTGCCATGCGTTAGCTAAACCAGCACCGTCCCCCCTTCTCCCTGAGCTGTGTTACGACCTGTCCCTCTCCTGTGTTCGCAGCCTTCCCTCTCAGTCCACGCGTTTTGTGCTCCCACCCCTATTTCATCTTGCCCTCCTAGTTTCATTAAACCAGCTACAAATTTCCTCTGTTTCCCTGGCGTTCTCCTGTACTGGACCATACCTCTGCTTTTAACCTTTCCATCTAAGCCTGGCTCTCCGAATGAACCTTCGAACCTCTGGCGCGCTCTAAATCCCTATCATTTTCCCTATTAGTTCAAGGGGTAGATGTTCCTTTGTTCCACCTTTGGCATTTCTCACCCTTAAGCATCCAGGAGCTTAAACCAGGCTGTTGCTAGACTGTCCTCCTTTAATATTTTTTATGAAGTGCAGTCCAATTATCTTTATCTTCCTTGGGGATCCATTCAATTAAGCGCAATCGTAATGAGTGAATGGACACAGAGCATTGTAACCGTATTTACATCCAGATTAATGGGAACTAGGTAAGATAACTTTAAAGCCATCAATATTTTAATACCTTGGCTTTTCATTTTGCTATCTTCAGTGTCAGACACGTTTAGAGAGACCAGCACAATTTGAGAGGCTGAGTTTTTAATTTCCTCCTTGGTTTGTGGAAACGAGGGTTTAGAAACAGCAGCAAACTACAAGAATTTCCCTTAAAATACATTTCTTGCAGGTTAACCAAAACACTTCTCACGACAGAAAGCAAGCTGGAACACTTTGTCCAGTTTCTTGGACGTTTAATTAATTGAAGGTAATGCAAGAAACCAGTACAGAACTGGTATTTAAGTGGAGATGCTGAGAGCACCGGGAAGTCTCATTTAATGAGCATGCAACAGAAATGCTGAGCTAGAAACACTGATTTGGAAGTGACTTTTCTCCCTTCTGAAAGACAAATGCTGGATCTGGAACATGGACCTGTCTCTCCGATACGCAATAGCTTTGACAGCTATTTTCGCGCCTGCTTTGAGACGCCTTTGCATCGCAGGAACAAGGTAAAAGGGTCCAACGGAGACTGAAAACCTGGTTCCGTTTCAGCACAGCTTAACGTAATAGTGTCATAGGCACTGATAAATGTGTCAATAAGCATTTGGAGGAATAACTGGTATCCAGGGAATTTATCTTGGTTGTAGTAGTTTCAGCTGAATAGGTCAGATTTGTTACCATTTTAATTTACACAAATCTGCATTCCAAATACTGCTCTTCGGCTCCTTTTCCTAACAACAAGAAAATGTCAGCAGCAAACCCAAATTTACTCCTCTAATAGCTTTCTCAAGATTTCAGGAAAAACAAACAAAACCAAAAAAACAATCTGTGGTACAGTTATGGGAGTGCTTAAACACATTTTTCAATTTAGACCTAATACAATTTTATGTTAATAAACCGGGAACTTTTGCCAATTCCAGATGTAATCCTGAAAGGCAGCAGAGCGCGCTGGGAGTCAGCATGTCCCGTAGCTTCAGGGCAGCCCCAGGACTGCGCCCCGAGGTGGCTGTTCTGCCTCGGTCCAAGTGTCCCCTGCCCAACCGCGTACCCAGCCGGGGGACACGCAACACCGTATTTCCATAGACAGAGTGCCAGCTCGCCTCGATTTCCCAGACAGAGGAACTTATGTGATGCATATGGTTCCCCTGCAAGTTTTTAAAATACTTCAGATGCAATGAGATAAACCTGGAAAAAGATGAGCATTTTTGCCTCACCCCTTCCCCCTAATTATCACCTGCCTCTTTTTCAGCTGATTTGCTGAGATTAAAACCTCCCTCCCACCAGGCTATCCCAATCTACGTCTCCGAAATTAATACAAACCGATGACCTTTCTCTACCCGTAAAGCCCTACATTAAAATGCCGGTCCCCACTGATGTCAAGAGGGCAATAAGAGTTCTGTCATTTCCATAAAACCAGTATTTTCCTGCCGGAATTCAGATCCCTCCTCTGCGTGCTCTGCCACGGCCCCCCCGGGGGCTGCCCGCAATCTCTGCAGCGCTTGGTTCTCCTCCCCGGCTGCAAGCACGCTGCGGGCTCCAGCACTGCCGAGGATAATCGACCTGCTTGAGATTCAGCTAACTTTCTGGTTCTCTACATAAAAAGAGTGGGGAAAGGTCAAACCTGCCCCAGGTTGCGCTCGCAGTCTTCCGCGTCGGGTGGGAAGGAGCAGGCTGCGGTGCTCCTGCTGCTCCCCCAGCTCTGCTTCGTGTCTTCACACCCGGAAAGCTCTCCGCTCACCCCACCTCCCCCTCGGAAGGCTGTTTCACGCAGCGCCTTCCCCCGGGCGCGCTCGCCCTGGAACCGTGCCCTGCTGCCCCGGGGCGTCCCGCCCGCGCTGAGCTGCCCACGGCGCTTTCATCACCCTCAGCAGCTGCATGTGGGATTCCGGGATTCCTCCCAACGCCACCGGGCAGCTCTGAAGCAAAAACGCGGCCCCGGGCATGTGAATGGGACGGGCACCGAGCCCGGCAGAGCAATGCCTCTCAGCCGGCACGCGGCACAGCGCTCCGCGGCAGGGCCAGAACAGCGCTGCCGGGGCTCCTGTGGAAGGGAAAAAAGTACCTCTGAAGTGCTGGAGGTTTTCATCGCCCTGAGTTCGGTGTCTCAGGGAGACAACCCACGCACCAGCCCGTGCAGGGCACCTCCCGCTCGCTCCATCCCCGCCATCGGTCACGGGGGAAGAGGAGGGGAAGGAAGAACAAATGCAGTTTCTGGTGCCTTCTCTCAGACATGCAGCAGGTTGGGCTCTCTCAAAACGGATTTCACTGGACTCATTATCTCTGGGGACTGCCTGAAGTGAAACACCTGAGCCTAACATTAGGTAAGTCCTTACTTTCGTATTCGCTGCGTAGCCATACTGTCTCTGGCTGGCTCTTCAACCACCAGCGATCCTTCCCATCACTTACAAACCGAGCACAATCTCCTAATTGCACCGGACAGGTGACGCTCTGTGAACCACACAGTCCAATGGGAAAAAAATCCCCAAAGTTCAGTTCCCCCTGTCCCTTCACCCTCACCCCCTCCTTCCCAGGTCACTCCAACCCACCACTAACGCTACATCAATTTTTGTTTAATGTGTGAGGTATAAATGCTTTCTCCCTGAGCTATAGTCACAGCTAGAGAAGGCAGAGCACTGAGAATCAGGCGGTATAGCTTACACAAGTACAGTATGCTTCTGCATCTGGAAAAGCTGTACGTTGTAAAATACCAGATAGAAGAGGTATTAAAGGCAGAGCCACACACAACCCCAAAATCCCTGGAAGACATTTTCCTAGTTTGGAAATGACATAAGGATGCCGTCATGAAACACACCAAGTGTGTCGAGTACGGGCTGAGTAACTGCCTCCAAAGGTAACATGCAAAGAACTAAGCAAGAGAGGTCTAGAAAGGGCTATGGATGCCTGGCACTTGATTTGTCCCCTGACAGAAGGGGGACAAATGCCAATTTATTCACCCCCCTGCTCCTGGAGTATTTTCTACATCTTCAAGTTGTACAAATTTACGCAAGGAAAATATCAGCTTCCTGAGTATGAAGACTCTCCCAGGGCTTCATCGACTGATAGGGATTAAAACAGAAGTATGACATCAAAGCCATGCTGCCCCACAGTTCCTGCAGAAACAAAGACCACGATCTCCACGCTGCAACTCAAACTTTTAGAGACTTTGTATTCCAGACAGGATTTGGGCTTTGCAAGTCAGCCACCCTCAACAACGGGAAACCGGTACGATGGCTTTTAAACTCACCTCTCTGTCAAGTCCAGCAGCCACAGTGACAATGTCTCCCGTCTCGCTGTTAATAGTAAACATATTTTGCGATGGGCTCTGTGGGGTCTGAGTCACGATTCGGTATCTCACCATCCCGTTCGCTGTAGTACTATCGTCTGCATCATTTGCCGTCACTGTCATCACGTAGGTACCTTGGAACGAGAGAAGACGAAATATCAGACGGAATATCTCTCATTGCAGAGCAGATTGCAGTCCCATTGACTCGAGGTCATGCATTTTACTCAGAAATGCTACGGAGTAGACATCCCATTTCCATCCAGCCAGCTAGGCAAGGCGGGGATTATGAAAATAGCAACACTGCTGAGACTAGATGATCTGTAAGGATACTGATTACACATAACCGGCACATAGCGAGAAGTCATAGGAGGATATCTATGATTAACTTCTAATTCTTTCAGTGATTGTAACTTTTAGGGCAGCACTTTTTGTCCTGCAATTTCATACAGATTCCCGCATGAAATCTTTTTCCATCCAATCACTGCATTCACACGCATTCAAAGTATTTCCAGAGTTTAATAGTGGAAAGCCCATCAGAGTTCTCAGCAGCTTCAGAAGGACCCCATCAACACGCCCATGCTCAGTGCAGGAAGCGACTGCCCACTGCCTCCAGTTCTTAGAGAAACGTCCACCTTTCCAGCCCCTTCTGGAGAAAAAACCCCATTTCTGCAGAGCAAATGGAACAGCTGCTGCCCAGCAGGACAGGAAATCAATGATTTGGTATGTGTGGCCAGCGATGTATTGAATCATTGGTTTGCTTCTTACTAATCATCAGTATCTTCATTTGCCTTGCAAAAAACAATCCCGACTTTCTAGATACTGTTGGTAGCGCGCTGATGCACTGACAGGCTCATTATCACTGGAGTTTGGCAGCAGGGTGTTTTGCTAAAGTGGGAAATTATCATTATGAGGGTAAAAGATGTGACTTGATTGGATGGACTCCTGCAGCTGCATGGTCCTGTGACCCCCGCGCTCCCAGGGCCCAGCTCTACGCTCGTTATGTTGGGAGGAGAGAAGAACTAAAAGGGCAAAAACATACCGCTTACAAAAGGCAATCTGCAACAGCGGATGAATCTAATGACACGAGACCTGAACGGAGGAGTGGGAGGGAAAGACAGACAGTGCAACCAGATGTAACCAAACCCAACAGCCTCAGTGGAAAGATGGAAGGGACTGCTTGAACGCTCCTCATTTGGGAACTCTGAACAGGTGAACCAACTTACGAGCCTGCCGTGCTGGAGGAGACGCAAAGTGGCCCCAACAAGAACCTGAGCTGATTCAAGAAGGAGCCGTGTGTTGTTTCACAAAGAGAGCGGAGTTTCTTCTGCCCCCTCGGTTAGACGAGAGCCACTGGCAAGCTCGGGGACAGGCGGCTCCATCAGCACTGCGTCGTGTGTCACGCAGGGAGCCCAGATCCCCAGCTTGGTCACAAAGCCACCGAGCTTCCAGTTCAGAGACAGCAGAGAGCTGGAGAGCTTGCATCTGTTTGCAAGGGAATTTATAAAACATGCCCCACGCTCTAAACGGGCAGATCTGCCAATGGCTGCAGCACGCCCAGGTTTTGTACCTCTGCCAAGTGTCTTTAAGCCACGTGGCACATAGGCAACTCCTCCAGTGTCTTCCCCAACTTTCAGAAAACAACATTTCTCAGTATTAGCAAGAAGTGGCCTCATAAGTCTGTGTTTTTGCACTGTGGGAAGGGCTTTGCTGAGCTCCTTCCAACTGGCTCAATCAGGCTCTTTTTGTTCTCTGTGGTGATACGTACGTATCCCTGTGAGTTTTCTTAGTTCAATAAGAATTATAGATTAAAAAATAAATGAATGTGTAAAGCAAATTCTAATGATGAATACATTCCTATCTTTCTGCAATAATTCTGATTCACATTTGTGAAATGAAAACAAACTATTTAACAACTTTAACATTTTTCCGATCAATAAACTTCAGGAGAGGGAAGGAACACCGAATTGAAACAAGGCTGTGCACGCATTGAATTTTCTCCTTTCTCTTCAAGCATTCTTTTTTCGCTCTTTTGCAAAGCCAGTTATCACAAGACAAGTGATACAAATAAAGAAGCCAACCCTTAGATAAGTACAGGGGAAATGTACAGGAGAAATTTAAATAGGAAATATGCTGAATGAGATGTTTGATTTGGAATTTATGTTATCTTAATGCATTCTATACTGAAAATATCTCTGAACGGAATGTCAAAACCCGGGGCTAATGAAAACAGAAGCAGAAGAAGAAAACAGAATCTATTTTAGGAAGCGCAGTCTTAGGACACATTCCAAAAAACAGGTGGTACTTCGTGATTCACTTCTAGTGCAAGAACCCGCTAAGACAGGAAAGCTATTGGGGCTACTAGGGTCAGCCAAGGGCATCCCACCGTTGTGGTCGCTCCGCATCTGGGATCTCTCAGACTGCACTGTAGTTCCCAAAATAAACCAGGACCCGTGCGAGATGGTGGGTTCCCAGTGTGGCAAGGGAACCCAACAGGCTGCAGCTGTGGTGGGCACGGGGTGAGCTGACAGCAGCTGCATCGTGGATGGAGGGTATAGTAGGTCTCCTTCACTCCTTCCCTGACCTTTTTGCTTCTTTCCTACAGTGTAGCATTGGCCTGAGCACATCTGCTCTAGAAAAAAGGACTGTTTCTACAGCATTTGACCTACACCCCGATAAAGGGAGATGGGACTGGACAAACGTCTCTGAAGTCATGAACTGAGCACCAGGGAGCTGTATTTCAGGAGGCAATCTGCTCCCTATCTCACATCTTTAATTTCGATTATGAAACTCAACCACAGAGAAAATAAAGAGAGGAAGTTGGCATTAATTACTAACTTGTAACTTAATAAAACGCCCTCTGCAAAGGGCCCTGTGTGGCTGCAGCACTCTGCAGCGCATGATGGAATTGCAGCAGCCGCTTCCTTCCCCGGCTCTCCGCTGCTCCCTGGGGCTGCTTCTCTGACCACAGGCTGCTGTAAACCGCCTGCAAATTACCTCTTCCTCTCTGCAGTCTGGATGGCGGCTGATATGGCCGTTCCCCTTCCTGTGCACTCGCATTTCCCACCTGGCACTGCTGCCCCAGGGATGAGAGCGCGACGGCATCTCCTGTCGCCCGTGCTGAGGGTACCGCTCCTGAGGTCCGCTCCCAGGGCATCGGCTGGCGTAACCTACATCACCACCCACGTTCCGCTCAGCTTGCTGTATATTTAGTCCATCTTTAAGCAAGACATATCCTCTTGATACCCATGTGCTGCAGTGAATGACATAAACATATATCTGTGCACAAGAGCATTCAATAGAGTGATGTGGATATATACTGCGACGGTGTCTAACATCTTCTGGGTGCTATATAAAGTCTTCCACTATACTAAGGTGGTTGGTGATGATTTACCTGCTATAAAAGTAAATAATATCATGTTTCCATGTCCTATGCAAGGGGATATATCTTCATATGCTTTATATTAAAATAAAGGAAATCCATCCCCATACCCAGCCCCTATTACTACACAAATTAGGCGAATACACAGTGGCAGACTGCACAGCTCTTACACACTCGAGGACTGAGGGCGGTAGTGCCCAACCGGGCCCGCAGGATGCACGTATGCACTTCGTGTAAATCAAAGTATTAACCTCAGCACCTTCCAATCCCTATATCCCACCCAAACAGAGACTGGAAGCAGCTCCCACAGAACAGAAACACTGGGCAAACTCCTCCAAGTGACACTCGAGAGCGCCACGCTGTACTCTGCCGCTTCTGGGTCGGACCCTGCCAGTGGGGAGGGAGCTACACCAGAGGTGTACAAACGGGGCAAGAGGGACTTTACCCTTTCGAGGTGCGAGAGAAGCATTAGCTTTATTTTTCCGCTCTGAAGGGCTTGCTCTCAAGCCCGCTGAGAACATTAGATGAACGCATGAAGTGCTGAAACTCGGGAATTTGCCCCGGTCTGCGCAGTGTATCACGTAACGAATACCCAGTCCAGACGGCGCTGGATGTAACTGCATTAACCCACACACCTGGCTACTAACTCAGGGAGATAACCTGTTGAAAGAAAACCATTTCTCATCAAATAAGGCACATGGTATGTTAAATAAAACACCTAACCTAGTACATCATGTCAATATTAAATCAAATTTGTTGCATGTTGAACAGCTCTTCTGAGAAGCAGATTGAATTATCATGCACAGCTAGTGATGACAAGATTACTGTGCATTAGCTTTCATTAACTAATGTGCCAAGTTCATATATCACCTGAGTTAAAATTGATGTAAGGCATGATGAAGGCGATCTATCAATAAAAGGCAAGATCCCAAGAATCTGCAACTTTGCAAAGCGTTCCCTTTGATTTCCCAGAGACCGCAATCTCCTAGATGTTATTTCGTCAAATGAGATATTTTTGTTTCAATCTAACAATGGACAAGACACATGAGAGAGATGCTTGAAAGCATCCCTTAAGGAAAATATTCCCATTAGACTAATTAAGCTTTCTACAGGATAGGCAAAATAATGCCTTACAGAATCTGGCGGGATGGAAGCAAAGGGAGGTAATTTTTACCTATATGTTCAGTTTTGTTTATCAATTTTCAAATTAATTGCATCTACTTGTAAAAGACTGCAAAAAGATTTTGTTAGGTTCACTATATTTCATTCGACGTGTACATGTTAAGTGCAAAAAGAAGCAAAACAAGAAAGATAGCTGCCCTGGGTACATATAAGCAGATAAGCACACAGTCGGAAACAAATGTCCCCCCCCAAATCACGCTGGAATCTGAGAACCAGCTCAGCTCTCGCTCGCTCCAACGGTCCCAAAGCATGCCAAGGACTGCTAATTCACATCACGTTGTCTGCAATCTCTGCTCTCCCATCTACACAACTTCATTTCTCCGTAAAGACCAAGCTTTCACGGTTTTAAGGCATACAAACAATATCTTCGCACAGTTGTGCTCCCAAAGTCTTTGTTACAATTGCTTTATAATTACCATTTTTCTAAGCTGGTTTGATATCCATTAGTTAGACTTAATGCATGTTAAAAGAAAGAGCTAATGGGCACTTATCAGGAATCCAAATAATAAAAGATAAAAAAACTCTTTCACTTTGCCCTTTATACACATATCACTATAAAAATACACAATCCTC